TTTTTTTTTGCAATCAAAATTTGAGTGTGGTGGTGTTTTGTCTTTTTAACCAAACTTTGAGGGGTTTGTGCAATTGGAAGAGCCCGGCTCCCCTCTCATTAGTAATTCAGCAATTTTAGGGCGTGAGAATAATTTTTAATGCATTAAATTGGTGCGGGGAGGGGGGAGGAGGTGTCACCACACTCCACCCCCTTTGGGGAGACCCCCCCCAGGACGGGGGGTGCAGGCAGCACCCACCTGGGCCTGATCCTGCACCCGGGGGCTGGGTGGGCTTTACCCCCGCTCGTTGGGTGCCTTGTTACTTAACGAGGGGCTCTCCCCTCCCTTTTGGGGTGCCCTGCCCCAATTAGCTCTGGTCTGGCATAATTAGTGATGGGTGGAGGGAGCAGCTGGGGATACTGGGCTGAGTGTGAGGGGCATACTGGGAGGCACTGGGCTGGGGGTTACTGAGGAAGCACCTAGGTGTGAGGGGCATACTGGGGAAACTGGGAGGCACTGGGCTGGGCGTTACTGGGGAAACTGGGAGGCACTGGGCTGGGGGATACTGGGGGCACTGAGCTGGAGGTTACTGGGGAAACTGGGAGGCACTGGGTAGAGTGTATGGGGGATGCTGGGTTTTACTGGGGATACTGGGAGGTTTTGGAGGAATACTGGAGAAACTGGACAGCCCTGGGCTGCAGGGTTGTATGGGGGGGGGGGGGGGAGTGGTTACAGGGAGTACTGGGAGCTGTTGAGGTGCACTGGGGGTACTGGGAGCACCAGTGAGGCTGAACTGGGACGTCAGACTGGGTGTACTGGGAGCACTGGGTGATATGGTGGCAGGGCTGGGGTGGGGGACACTGGCCTGAGTGTAGCTGGGATACTGGGAGCCACTGTGACCAGTGGGCTGAAGGTACTGGGAAGCACTGGAGGCTACTGGGAGCACTGGGTTGGGGGCACTGGGGTCACAGGCTGGGGGAGGCCGGGCCGCCACGCTTCCCAGCGTCCCCCGCGGCCGGGCCGCCACGCTTCCCAGCGTCCCCCGCGGCCGGGCCGCCACGCTTCCCAGCATGCCCCGCGGCCAGACGCGGGATAGGCTGAGCCGTCGTCCCCGCCCCGGTAGGCGGGTTCTGCTCCCGCGCTCCGGCCAATGGGAGCGGCCACCCCCTTCCTTTCCCCACACGGATTGGCATAGAGGGGGCGGAGCGCGGCCCAATGGGAGCGCCCGGGGCGGGG